GAAACAACATACATCCTACAGGTAGCAACTTCATAAACATACGCAAATATTATATAAATGATATATGTGAACTTGCATGCTGAAGCGCCATTTTGCATTTTCACTGAAAGAATATTCTTTAATTTGGATAAAAATATGTTTATATAGCATACCTATAATGCAAATGTATGTACATATACGTGTGCGCGTGTGCGTGCGTGTGTGTGTGTTTGTCGGTGTTTCTGTGTTCTTTTGTTGAAATTAAAAATTTTTTATATGTACATAGCATGAAAATACAGTTTCCTATGAATTACAGGTGTAAATACAAAATATCGATCATGCCATTTAAAAATGTAAGAAAGGGACATTTAAACGTAATTAGACAAAATTAAAAGCCGAAATTGTATGTAGCGAAAACTGTTTCGAATACAATGGATGAAATGTTTTATTTTATTCAATGACATTGTTATAGTGACATTCATATTTTTCTTCCGCTGTTCTATTTATTGAAAACAACATGTATTGTTCAGGTTGTCAAGCAGTTGGAAATTTATGCCCCGATGTTTGTGTTATGAAGATATAATATATATATATATATATATATAGCAATGCTTAAACTTTTATAAACAAGAATGTAGTGGTGTAATGATGTTGTGAGTGTATATACACATATCTTTTAAAACTGGATTGTTAAAAATTATTTCGAACTATTTAAACTTGTTTAAATGTGAAGTTACAATTACTTTGAAATTTTCAAAACAAAAATGTTAAAAAAGTCTAAGAAGAGTTGTATTCTTAACCCATCTGCATCTTCGAGTTCATTCCTCCTGGCCGTCATTTTGTTTCTCGTCTGCCAAACCGCAACAGCTGAAGAATCATTCTGCCCGCGAAACTTTATCTTCACCGATAACACGACCAACTCGACATTTCCATGCGCTGTTGGAAACAACATCTCTTTCAACGCAACCAGCAAAACTGATTGTTGTCTTGTTTGTTTGACCTACGGACTGGTGAACTGCTTGGCGGGGAATTATTATCCGGCAGACGGCAGGTGTGAAATTTTTGAAGTCTGGTCGGATGCATCTGTTGCAAATCCTAATTGTACAAGCTTCAGGAAAACAGGTAACTGGGCTTTATAAAGTTGTCGGTTTATTTTCTCTTGATGCGAATCGTCTGAAATATATTTGCTAATATCAAATAAAATGACACAAAAGAAACTATAAATGTATCATTTTAGTAAATAAAATAACATAAATAAAATTAATTTTGTATCGTTTTAGAGCCGAAGCTAGCACAAAAAGCTTACAACATTTAATTTCACAATTATTCGGTTTTTAATATTAATTACTTTTTAAAATAAAATAATGTTGTTTTTTTTTAATTTTTCTCCTCTTAAATTATTCTGAATTAATTTATTTACTTTAATAATAATGTTTCAACTTTCACTCAGGATTATGTCGGCCAGGATTCACGTACATACCAGCTTTCAAAACTTGTTTGATGCTCCTGAAACCATCATACACCTGGGAAGGCGGGCTGGCCGCGTGTTCGAACCTGGGACCCACCACTTACATGGTCAGTGTGGAGACTACAAACAAGGCAGCTAATATCAGCAAGTTTCTAAATCTAATCGGCGGTAAACCATTTGTTGAAAGAAATTCTGACAACTTAAACAAGATAATTAACACATTGTATTCATATATTATTGCGATGTTTTTTGAAATATTACAAAAAATATATACAAATGTTTCTTACGTTTACCAACAAGCCATTTAATGAGAAAACAGGCAAGTGTGTGAATAAAATTGAAGCTTGTTCATTTCCAACCCAACAGCTTCGAAATCATGTTCAATCAATGTTGATACATGTTTGATATGGACAGGCGGATCAACCAACAGGTCATCACCAACCAGTTGGACCTTCTATTGGTTCGGTCCTTTCAGTACGACGACAGTGATGTTAAACAATGTGCCCTGGTCATTAGGTGAACCCTCAAAAATTGGATGCCTAGCGTTGTCCATTCGCTCAAGTTATTTCTTCAATTTTTCGTCTTTTAATTGTTCAAATTAATCAATTTAAATTAATTAATTAACTTATTTATTTAACGAATAATTAATTTGAATTAATTAGTTTTTGAGCTTAAGAAGCACCGAAAATAAATAATCAAATAATAAATTTTTAATCGTTTATATTGGATATCGTTTTATTCTCAATTTCAATTCACTGCGTTCGTAAAATGTTTCGCGCTAATATTCTTAACATTATCTCATTTTATTGATTTAATTTCTCATTTATCTATAATATTCTAAAAAATCTTAATAACTAAAATTATTAATATAATTAATAAATAATCTTATTATTCTCACTACTACCAATAAATAATGTTTTGATTGGTTTTTTGCTTCAGACTATGGATACCTGTACAGTACGTTGTGCTCTATATCGCGCTGTGTTGTGTGCGAGACATATCCCGATATTTAGGAGCCTGTTGGTCGGAAAGGCATTTGGCGACAAAATTTACTTGATGTGTTTGACAGTGTTTGATTTGGATCAATTTATTACAACGTTAATATATCGATACGGTTTTCATAACTATAATATTTATATTGACAAGTTTATCGATTCTTTCAACTTTGAAGTTATGAACTATTTGCTTCTATCTGCCGTATTTGCAATCCATTAAACTGACCAACATGTCAAGATGACCAACTGACCAACAAAAGTTTGTTTAGATTTGAAATAAAAAGCATGTAGTAGAAAGAAATTAAAACCAGGGGAACTTAAATTGCTTTCTTTTCCTCCCATATAATTATTCCCACATGGTAGCGGATCTAGGGAGAGGCCGGAAGGGTTATAGCCCTCGTTGTGAGCAGTATTTAGGTTAAATAAGAGAAAATGATTGACCAGGTAGGTGTGAACGAGGGAATGAAACAGATGTGAATGAAGATTAAGAGGGAACACTCATCTCAACAACCTTCTCGACTGACGATCGATCAACACACAGCCATCAGACAGACGACCAGTGACGGATTCGCAACGACTTCTCTGTAACTCCAGCACGAATCATCTGATTAAACATTAAAGCAAACAAATTTTTTTTATTTAACATGGGAAATAATTGGAAAAAAAACCACGTTAATAAACTTAACCATTGTCAAAAATTTAACTATGCTAAGCAAATCTAAAACGCCTATAATAAAAATATCAAATCGTCATCGTCATCATAATTATTATTGCGGTCGTCATCAACGTCATCACGGTGTTCACGTGTATGGCAAGATGGCATGTGAACTTTCAAATGAATCGGAAGTACACTTTGACAGCCTTGTCACCGGACGTCGTAATTGTCATTTGACATACCGTTCAACGATGAATGGCTGCTAAGAACAAGCATAGAGTGATGATAAACGCCAGATAGGTCCGGCATGCAAGCGAAAAAGTTTTTCTAACCCTCTATCCCACCCTGAAAACAAACTTTCAACAACCATTCAACTTTTTTGGTTCTTTTTTCTATTAAAAATGACTTTTTAAAATAAATATTAAAAAATACTTTTAAAATTCAGTTGAAAAACTTACGACCATGACTTGATATAAGGGAAAGCGTTTTGTAACAACAGAGAGCAGAAGGGTGGTATGGTGTGGAGGCATGTACTCCAAACACACATGGACCTCTTAGGAGAATTATTTTTTGTATCATTTGTATTTTGTATCAATTATTCTTTTTTATTATTACAAGCATTATTATCATCTTTATAGTTATAAAAAATTATACAATTGTTATAATTATTGTTTATTTTTTATGAGACATAGAAGAAATAATCACAATGCATGCGTGTGCGTGCATGTATATACTCCATTAAACTCTAATTATGTACTTGGGTAATTAGGTATTTAATGGCCGATGCAATCATTTGTCCCCACAAAAGAACTTATCGTAAAATGTATAAAACATTTATACAACTAAATTTTAAAGTTGAAGTTTCGAATATTCTCCTTTGTTTAAAAAATTTACAAGTTTATAGTTATTTTTTCTAAGAAAATATCTGATTAGGAAATACATCTATTCTCCATTTGATGTTTTACACAATCATGCACTTATTGTTATTCAGTGTTATCTTCATCGTTTGTGTTTTTTCCGAAGAGACAATATTCCCAAGAAATTTTACCTACAATGATGACAGCACTAACACGGCATATGCATGCGTCTCTGGGATGTATCTAAACTTTACCGCAACCAGCAAAACTGATTGCTGTCTGATTTGCTTAACGAATGGTCAGATGAATTGTTTGGCAGGAAATTTTTATCCGCTGGACGGTAGGTGTGAGATTTTTGAGGTCTGGGCTGATTATTATGCGACGAATTCTGGTTGTATGAGTTTCAGGAAAACTGGTTAGTCAACTGCTCTTGTGTTTTGAACGTTCATTTTTAGGAAATGTTATTATCTAAAGTTAAACTTTTGTTAACTAATTTGGATTACATTCTCGTCTGTATATTTTTGTTATAAAACTTTATAATATTTTAATTTTTTTTATACTTTGCACTCAGACAAGTATTTTTTTACTTTTCTAATTTCATTTCTGTTCTCTCATCAAACACGTTCACCCTTAAACGACACAAACCACACACGGACTAAAAATTCCCACCAGGATTATGCCCGCCAGGATTCACGTACCAGCCATCAGTGAAAACCTGCCTGATGTACCTGAAACCAGACATGGTGTGGGAAGACGGACTGGCTGCGTGCACCAGGGCTGGCAACAACATCTTCATGGTCAAAGTCGACTCAGCTGAAAAAGGAACCAATGTTACTGAGTACCTGGCCAACATCGGCGGTATGATAAGGAAGATTTTTTTCGTTAACAATTTAGAAATTCTCTCAGTAATTTCAAGCTAACGCATGCTTCTTTCAATGAAAATTTTTTTTTATGTGTAGATCTTAAGAAGATGGTCGAAAAATTCAATTTATTCCATATATCTAAAAAATACGCGATCAAGCTAATATATAAATATAACGTAATAAAACAAACGAAACGAATGAATGAACACACAACGGATGAACATAAAATGAGCATACCTGAGGGAACATACAACAATGAACATACCTGAGTGAACATACAACAATGAACATACTTGAGTAAACATACAACAATGAACACGCACGGGTGAACACACAAAACAAGTATAAACACGAACACAAAAAATGCAGTGTTCGACACTTGTTCCAACTCGATCGATGACAACATTGCTTGGACGGGTGGGTCGAGAAAAAACAGACAGTTCACACAGGGAGACTTTTATTGGTATGGTCCCAACAATTCGATGACCATCTTTGCCAAAGCTCCCTTAAATTTGGAATTTATACTTGGAAGCTGTGTTGCGTTAAGCATTCGATCAGGTAAATTTAATATTTTCTAAGAAATTCACACCTCAATTGACAATCAATCATTCATTAAGCTACTTGATCGATCGGTTTTAAAATGATTGACATGCAGGCAACATATATGAAACATCATGCACAATCTTACGTTGTGTGGTCTGCGAAACATTTTCAAATATTTAGACTTGTCGTTTCAAGAACACGTTAGCTGACGAATTATTAGATGAACAATGAAAAACATAAAGTGGACTCCGAATACTTTTAACTCATCACTTTCAAGAAGCTTGTTATAGCATTTTTAAATGTTTTCTAATGTTTCTATTGCTTGGTATTTTGCATGTTTTAAATGTTTCACTGCTTTCATTCAAATGCATTTGAATTCAACTGCCAATTTTGACTCACTTCGATACTTTTATAGCTTTCTTATTTTAAATTTGAATTTTGTTTCATTCGGAGCCAGATTTAAGATAAGGTGGGTGAGTCTAATGCCCCATGGTCCACACGAAAACGGAGCGCACATACAAAAACGTAACTTTAATGTATTTAATTTTGAGTAAAAAAAAACTTTGGTTTTGGTTAAGAAATTGTTGAAAAATTGTGCTATAAAGCAAAGAAATTTTTTCCAAAAATTATTGGCATGTTTTGACGTTGCTAACACTACAATTACACAAAGTCTTTTTCTGAACACTTGTTCGTTGTCCCAGGACTTCCAATTTGTAAATCTGCCTCTGATTTCATTCGAATAAAATGTTTTATAAGTGCAATAGTTTTTTTTACGAGCAATTCATAAATTTAAATTTTAAAAAATGTGTTGTGTTTGTATGTATCCAACATTTGTGAATTGTTCTCATTTATAAATTTGTTGCCACATCACACAACACCACATATGAATAGACATACAAGCACATGAACTAACATACACACCACAAACGCACCTAAAAATAGCTAAATGTTCGTTTTGGAACTCATTTTTTAAAATAGTAATATCGAATTGCAAATATGAAGCTAAGCTGAAGTTGTTTTGTTTTGATTGCATTATAATATTCGATTGCAAAGGTGAGTTGCTATTTCAAACTTTTATTTATTTGTTATTTATTTTTTATTATTTAATTTTTATTTTCAATATTATTCAATATTAATTTAAATAATCGTTTGTGTAGTATTATATTAAATTATATTATAATATTATATTCAAATTGCATTTGAATTTGACATTAATTTGGCCTCTAGTTCTTTCTAATAATGTTGTGTTGTTGAAAAATTAAAAATAAATTTATTTATCCCTTTCATTTAGTAAGTTATTAATATCACAATGATTATAAGTTATATTATAACAGATTAGTTATATTGCTATGTAAGTCAAATTTCAAAGCCAATGATAAATGGGTAATTAGACTGCTAGTTCTACTCATCTCAAAGCTGACTGAACCAGTATCGCTATTATTATAATAGTATTATAATATATTTAACATATAATATATTACAACATGTTATACAATTAAACACACACACGCATACAAACGCACATACATACACACAAACACACACGCGCGCACGCACGCACAGCACACACATACTACAACAACAGATACTATCTCTATCAGATTAGAGTCTACTCTGATGTCTAATCATTAGACATTGGAGAAATTGCATGTGATGGCTGGGGATCTATATATATTATATATTTATATATCCTAGAGAAATTTAAATTAAAAGTTTTAAATGTTTCAGGGGCTAACAGCTAACTGATTTTGTGATATTAAAAAACTAGCTATTCTTAATATTATGTTCTTTTTATTTTTTTTGTACTATGTTTATAAATGTGTCTATTTATGTTTGTGTATATTTATATTTCAATATAATGTATGCGTTTATGTTTGTACTTATGTATTTACGTACATTTGTATTTGTATGTATGTATGTATGTATTTATCTATGTATGTATGTATGTATGTTATATGAACCTGTTTTGATGAACAAGTTATGGTTAAGCATGCAATCATTTTGGAGTTCAACTTTTATCTATGTCCCTGGTCCCGCACAGTCAGGTATCTAGCAGCTCCATCCAGAATGCAAAAGGAATTAAATTTTTGTAATAAAAGTTAAATGGTTTGTTTTAAATAATTGCCTTCATTAGGGTCACCCATTATATTAATTAATTTTCCTATTAATTCTTTAATGAATAATGATGTGTGCTTATTTGTTGGATGCAAATGGGTTGAAATATTTTGCTTAAATTGTTTAATGAACCATATTTTTCATTTTTTAAATAGGACTATGTATGTACCTATGTATGTATGTATGTATATATATATATATATATATATATATATATATATATATATATATATATATATATGTATTTATAGATTTATGTATGTGTGTGTATTTCGAAAGTACTCTTATTTTATATTAACTTACCTATTTGCTGGGTTATGTGTGCATATTATATGATTCAAGAGTGTAATATCTTTGTATGCATGAGTATTTGTGGGTATACATGCATCTGTATTTGTATGTAATGTAGATATGTATGTATTTGTTTATATAGTTTATTTATGTGTATGTATGAATAATATACTAATGCTGTATGTATTGGTATATGAACATTGATTTATGTATTGTATGTGTGCTATGCATTTATGATTATTTTGTATGATTATTATGTATATAAATATATACACTATGTATTGTATATAAGTTATTTGTTATATGCCTTTAAGTTATAAGTTATATGCCTTTGTTTTGTATGTATATTTGTTGGTATTTTGTTGTTTAATGGCTGTACATACATGCTTGTATTTATACGTTGGTATATGTATGTATGCATGCATGGTGCATGATGTATGTATGTTGGTAGATTAGTATGTTTGTATTTATGTATGTCTGTATGTATGTATGTATATATGTATGTATGTATGTATGTGTGTGTAGATTGGTTGTATATAGAAATGATGAAAATGCATGGATGAAACAAACAACTTATCTACTACCATATCAACATTTTGACTTTTGCAGCTCTATAAACGGCATTAATGTTTAAATTTTTTCTCCCTCACTAGCTTACTGTTGAATTTTTTTTTTTTTTTTCCAATTGTATAATACCATTTTTTTCGTCTTTCATTTTCGAATGCAGTAACGGATCGCTATTGCTGGGTTAATTGAAAATGGTTTGTTTGTAGAAGGAGTACGTTTATTTGTTTGTATGTTTTTATGTATGTTTATTTGTTTGTTTGTTTGTTTTTGTTTGTTTGTTTGTTTATGCATAAGTTCATTTGTTCGTAGGTATTTAATTAATTAATTAAACCATTCAGTAGTAAAGTTAATAAATTAATTTTCAGATGATTAACCAATCAATAATACCTCTTCTATTTTAATAACATAATTTGATGTGTGGATTTTCAACTCCAGTTGTTCCTACCTTGTCTTACAAATCAGTGGATGAGACCTTCGAACGATTGGGATGAACATTGCAGAAACAATATTCATATTTTGTATTACAAAACAGAAATAAAAAAAGCATCAACGACATTAAATTAACAACAGCATTGGATTAACAACAACAACATTATTTAGCAATAACAAACTACAAACAACAATTGAATTGCAACAACAACATCACTAACTGACACTACTAACGCAATTGTATATTAACAACCAAAACCACAACTTTCCCATACAAACGACGACAGCAATTGTATCAGCAACAACAACGACAATGACTTCAGCGACATCAACAGCAGCAGCAGCTTCAACAGCCACAACTTCAAGCATGCCATCGTATCTACAGTAAGCTATTAACGGATCAATAGTGGTTACAACTTCGACTACAACAACAACAACTACTACTACTGCTGCTGCTGCTGCTGCTGCTACTACTACTACTACTACTACTACCATTACTTCTACAGTTACTACTACTTGAACAGAAGATACATTTAATTTCATCAACAAACGCAATTTTTGGTTTGGTCTGCCATATGCAAAATTGGATAACTATTGATACAATATTTTTAGTGCTACAACATCATTTTCATTGACATCATTCATTCTGTTGTATTAGTATTTTAGAAGTTTTTAAAGTTGCACTGCAGTTTAATTAGCAGAATTACTATTAAATAAATGAATGAATGAATAGCAAATAATAATAATAATTATCATTATAATATAATATATATAAATGGAATAAATATTAATAATAATAGCAACAACAAAGGAAAGTCATCTTGTAGCTATAGCTTTCTGAAATTTTAAAAAAATTTTTACAAATATATAAAATTAATTAAATGATAATATATTTTTAAGAAATAATATTTTTAGTTAAAAAAATTAACTGAATTGATTTTGCTTCTACCTGTTTGTGATTAATACTTGAAAAAAAAATGGAGATAGATCCGAATGGTGAGGGTTCAGATGAACAGTCCACCTTTCAAATGAAGTTCCAAGCTAAGAGAAGTTAGTAATAGCAGCAGTAGTAGCAGTGGTAGTAGTATTAGTAGTAGTAGCATGTAATAATAGTAGTAGTAGTATTAGTAGTAGTGTAGAAGTAGTGTAGTAGTACTAGTAGCACTGGTAGTAGAAGAGTAGCAGTAGCTGTTGTAGTAGCTGTAGTAGTGTTAGTAGTTGCTGTTGTAATACTAGTTGTGATAGCGTATTAGTGGTCATGATTGCTCAGAGATCTTTTTTAGCCTGGGGCAAAAGTTTGGGCAGTGGCCCAAAGTTGAGGCCCACTTTAATGATTGGCCATCAAACGTTCTCACGTGTGGCGTGCCCATCCCCCACGAGCTTCCAATTATTGTGACCCAAGGCAATCTGCTCTTTTGCCCCACGTATCTTGCTGGCTTTGCCTATTAGTCGTAGTAGTATTGGTAGTAGTAGTAGCTTCAGCAACAGTAGTAGTTGTTGCTTTTGTTGTAACAGGACTAATGGTAGTAGTTACAGTTGCTACTGTTATTACTGCCGACTGTGGCAGTTGTAGTAGAAGCAGTAGTTGTAGCAGTAAAAGAGCAGTAGTAGTAGCAGTAGTAGTAGTGGTGGTAGTAGTTGTAGTAAATGTTGTTATAAATATCTGAAATCATGTTTATCAACTTAATCTTAATGGATGTTCTGAACGAATGAATGCATCAATATAATGCGCCTAAATGAGTCTTAATTGGCGCCTGAGTTAATGAAGAAATGAAAAAAGGAATGAATGAAATAATGAATGAATAAACTAAAGAATGAAAGATTAAACAGCTGAATGAATGAATGAATGAACGAACGAATGAATGAATGAGAAAAGGAAAAATTGAATAAATTATTTATACCAAGTAATTGTAGTAATGACTTTGTTCTGATTTTACCAATGGCAGTTGTTGTTGTTGTTGTTGATGATGATGATGATGATAAAATGACATGATAATGATGATGATGAGTATGGTGATGATAATGATCACAAAGTATTTTGTCGGTGTTGATGCTGATTAATCCATATATTAATAAAAATAACTTGACGAAGCATACATACATGCTTACATGCACATGCAAACATTCACTTTTAACAATTGATGCACTGTACATTTTAACAGAACATCTCTCGTTTGTATGTATGCACCGTATGTATGAACTGTATGTATGTTTGTATGCATGTATGGATTGAGGTCACATTTGCATAAATATACTTGATTACAGACTTTTTAGAAATACATGTTTGTGTGCTAACACATTTTGGAGTGTGTAACGTGTATGTGTGTGTGTGTGCATATAAATATGGATATATGTATGTGTGTGTGTATGTATGTATGTGTTTTTGTGTTTATGTGTGCGTGTGTGTGTTTATGAATGTTTGCCTGTTATAAACTTAACATTGATGTTGATTGTTTAAGATCGTTATATTTGAAATAAAACAAAAAAAGAGAGACTTTGAAGAGAAACAAGAGATGAAAAGATGAGAGTGAGAAAAAAGAGAAAGAGAGAGAGAGAGAGAGAGGGGGGGGGGAGAAAGAGAGAGGCCTCTTGACCCTGGGTTTGCTGAAATTTCCAACTGAGGATTTTGATTAAAATTTAAAGAATTTATTGCTTATTACAAATATATTATAAACTGTGATAAGTGTAATGCAATAATAAATGAATATTACAAAGTATTTGTGTGTTTCCATGTGTGTACGTTTCTGTACTTATGTTTGTATGTATGTTGGTTGTGTGTCGTATGTATGTCTTATGTTTGCATATATAATTGTTCGTATCAATTTATAAATGTGAGCTTATGTGTGTATGGTTGTGTTCGTGTGTTTGTGCTTGTACGTGTTTGGTTGTATGTATATATGCATTTAAATAAATAATAAATAAAATAATATATAAATAAATATTTGTGTGTTTTTTTTATGTTTGTGTAGGTGTGTGTGTGTGTTTTTGCGTATCTGTGGTTATATGTGTGTGTAAGATGCGTATGTATATGTGCACATGTTTGTTAAATAGTGTGTGTGTAGATGTGTGTACTTGGTGTGTTATGTGAGTGTGTGTATGTGCTATTTTGTGTGTATGTGTTATTGTGTGTGTTTATGAATATTTAGGCTAGTTTGCAGATGTTTTTATCCGGAATGAGGTCAGCCACATTTTATATACATGTATGTTGTTGTTGATGTTGGGAGTGATGATGAGTAAGATGATGAGAAGATGATGATGAGTAAGGTGATGATGATTTCTATCTTTTTTTCATTCATTTATTTATTAATTCATTTATTAATTCGTTCTTTCATTTTTTCGTATATATTATTTTACATTCTTAGTTTTTTTTTCGTTTGTTAAAAAATCAATTTCTTAAATGTTTGCAGGCGAACGAGAAGACGTTCAGAAGCGAACGTTCACAAAATGGATGAACAGTCGACTGGTTCGCGCCAACAAACAACCGATCCAGAATTTCGTAGAGGATCTCAGAGATGGGATCGTCCTGATGCAACTCCTAGAGATCCTGACTGGGAAAAACCTGGTTTGTGGCATTCGTTGAATGGTGGATTGGTCTGTTTGCTGATTGCTTGGTTGGTATGTTGTGCGTGTTTGTATATACGCGTGTCTGTTTGTTTGTGTAGATGTGCGCATGTGTGTATATATATTCGTGTGTGCGTGTGCGCGCGTGTGTGCGTGTGTGTGTGTGTGTAGGTGTGATTGAAAATGGTTCGTATTACATATAGAGGGAAGAAATTATGCAATAGTTCTGAATTATAAATTAATTTATAACACATTCGTCCATCAACGCTGTCAGCTGCAAGTCTGTGTAGGCATTTTATCTGATTGAAAATTGTGAATAAATAAAATTTTGGATGAATAAAATTCTCATTGTATCGCATGTTTGTTTGTTTGTTCATTTGTTCGTTCGTTCGTTCGTTCATTCATTCATTCATTCATTCAGATGTACATATATTATATTTTTGCATTATTTTCAATTCTTACTTAGCTATTATCATGTGTAATGTTGTGTGGTCAGTAGTAAATAATGATCTGACAACGAATACATCTACATAATTGATGATTGATAATAATAATAAGACTAGTTGTAGCGAACGTTTCAACTGTAGTATTTTGCATGTAAATTTTTACTTCCAATATCTTTTTTTTGTCTAATTTGTTATATTTTTAAAACGTATTATGATTATTATGATTATTAATTTTTTTATTGTTTTTCTGTTATCATTATTATTATTATTATTATCTTATTATTACTTATACTACCGGCTTGTGGTTATGTGCGCTCGATTTGGGACACCTCTTTTAACGGTTATGTTAAATAACTTTTGTTGCTGTTGTTACTGTTGTTGTTTTTTTTATTATTGTTATTGTTGTTTTTATTATTGATATTGTTGTTATTATTATTGTTGTTGCCTTTTTTGTATTTTGTACCTATCTGTTTTTTAACGGTATAGAATTTTTTTGGTATTCTTTTTTCTCTGCTGTTCTCTTTCTCTCTCTCTCTCTCTCTCCTTTCTTTCTCTTCCTCTCTCTCCATTTCTCTCTTCCTTTCTCTCTCTCTGATTTTTTTTGCCAAGCTTTGAAAATTATCTCAGAAAGAGTCTGCTAGCATGAACAAAATAAAAAAATCAATTAAAACGATGTTTGGTGATAATGAAAAGAGAAAAAATTATATATTATTATTATATATTGTTATTATTATTATTATTTATTATTATTATTGTTATTATTGTTATTTATAATTGATAATAAACATTGATTTCTGAGTTGCACCAGCATTAATAATACCAAACTACAGACTACTGATACATTTATATTATTGTTGTATCAGAATTTAATACCTCAGTTATATATTAAATGGTGTGGAATGATCGATTGTACCGATGAATGAATGAATGAATGAATGAATGAATGAATGAATGAATGAATGAATGAATGAATGAATGAATGAATGAATGAATGAATGAATGAATGAATGAATGAATGAATGAATGAATGAATGAATGAATGAATGGATGTAGGAAGAAAGGAATGAACGAATGAACTGATTAATTGGTTTATACAAACAGTGAGCAAATAAAAATTATTTATGGAAATTTAATGCCATTCTACAAATTTTTATCTAAATTTATGAATGAAAAGTGAATTGATGAAATGAATGAGTGAATGATTGAAGAAAGGAATGAATGAATGAATGATTGAAGAAAGGAATGAATGAATGATCGAAGAAATGAATGATTGAAGAAATGAATGAATTGATTTGCTAACAAAACAATTAATAAATCGATCAATTAGCAATTGAACGAATGACTGAATGAAGAAATAAAGAATGAAATAAATAAATTGAGAGATAAATGGATCGGATGGATGCTTGGTTATGTGATGTGACGTGACGTGAAACACATTTCCTGATTAAATTCCGCACTAATCATTCATTCATTTGTTTGTTCGTTCGTTCGTTCGTTTGTTCGTTCATTCATTCAATCGTTTGTTCGTTCATCAGTCTGTTCATTTGTTTTTTTGTTTGTTAATTCTTCCACTATTTTATTGATTTATTTACTGGCGCGCACATTAAAAAATTTTCACTCATTCATTCAATTATTCAGTTTGTGGTTTCTTCCTTTCCTTTCATTCACTCACTTATTAATTCATTAGTTCGTTCATTCATTTATTTGTTTGTTCATGTTTTGTGAAATCTTTCATTTAGTTTGCCGTATTCTTATTTGCTAAGAACTTGATAAGGACAACGACGATGATGGTGACGATGAAGACGTTTATGATGATGATGATGATGATGATGATGATGATGATGATGATGATTGAAATAGAAATGCCGTACTAGCAGGCAAGGTTGGTGTTTATTGATGTTGATAATTGAGGTTTATGATAGTATGTTTTTGGGTTGTTTTGATGTTGATGTTGGTGATGAAGATGATGACGATGAAGAGGATGATGATGACGATGGGGACAATGATGATGATGATGATGATGATGATGATGAAGATGAAGGAGATGATGGTGATGATGATGACGATGATGACTATAATGATGAAGAAGATGGTGATGATGGGGACGATGATGAAGAAAAAGTTGATGAAGATGGTGATGATGTTTCTATCGACGATGATTGATTAATGTGATGAGCATTGTGATGATGAGAGTGATGATGTCAAATGTGATGATGTCAAACGTGATGATGATGCAGACGAACAGACAGACAAACAGACAAACAAACATAAGAAAGTTCTACTTTCCTAAACATCAATGATTTTTTTTCCATAAAACTTTTCATAAAACTTTTCACTTGCGTTCATTCGTTCTTTCGTAGATCTTTCATTCGTTCATTTACTGTATGTCTGTTCATTCATTCATTAATTCATTAATTAAATCATTCATTCTTTCATTAATTAATTAATTTATTTATTCATTCATTTGCTCGTTCATTTTTAACTCCTTTATTTATTCCACCATTCAAACATAGATCCATCCATCCATTCATCCATCCATCATCTCATTCCTTCATTTGTGTAAGTTTTCTATCTTTTAATTACCATTTGGTCTCTGTTTTCCCACCGTCATCATCATCATCATAGTCATCATCGTCATAGTCATCATCATCATCATCGCCTACTATTCTTTTGTTGGGAGATTAAAATTTTAAAATATTTTAAAACATTTGCTATCATCTTCTGATTAAACGGCGCAGAACTGTAAATACTTTAAATTCCATCTCTATGTTTATCTCTCTCTCTTCCCCCCCTCCCCCCCCTCTCTCTCTCTCTTCCAATTTTTCAGTCTCTATCTCTTTCACTCTTTCTAACTTATATGTTTTTGTATCTCAGTTTCTTTCTATCTTTATCGTTCTCTCTATCTCTTTCTCTCTTTCTTTCACTCTCTTTTTTTTCTGTTTCACTCTCTCTCTCCGTCTGTTTGTCTCTCTCTTTTTTTCTCTCTCTTTTTTTTCACTGTTGTTTTTTAACCGTTATAAACAGAGATCTTCAATTGCAAATTAGCGAACATACGTGTATATAAACAGACGACAAAGGTATTCCCGCAAGCAAACAAACAAATAAACACGTACAGACACACACACACATTCACACACACACACTTACACACACGCATGCGCACACATACATACACACACATATACATGCACACGCACTGTAATAAAACATTAATCATTTGTAAACATTTTAAACTCTTTACTTTTAAAACGGATATCAAATAAACTTTGCTTTAGCATTAAATAAATTCTTATGATATTATATTACTATTAATAGCCGTTACTACTACTGCTGCTGCTGCTACTGCTGCTGCTTCTGCTACTACCACTGCAAATAATAGTAATAATGATGATAATGATGGATTCTTGTGTTGGCGTGAAGTGCAAATCGGATATGTGGTACTTTATTTGGGTGATTTATTTAACAGATTATATACCCTTCTGTCTATACTTGTGCTATTCATATTTCAATTAGGAATGTAAAAAATTGAATTCATTTCACAATCGATCTATTGTTATAACAATCAATCTGTCAATCAATCAATCAATTAATTAATCATACAATCAATTAATCAATCTGTCATTCAATCAATCATTCATTCATTCATCCATTCATTCATTCATTTAATCAATCGATCAATCAATTATCCAATCAACCTACCAACCATTTATCATAAAACAAATCAATCAATCATTTACCATCAATTGATCATTCAATCATTTATCATTTAGCATATCAATCCTTTTGTTAAATCGATCTGTCGACCCCAACCAACTTACACTTGACCAATCACAGACACAACACACACACACCACACACACACACACACACACCACACACACACACACCACACACACACACACACACACACACACACATACATAACACACACATACATAAACATGTTTATATACAGATACATATACACACACTCACACACGCACACTCAGAACCCAGAGAGAGGTAGTAGTCGAGTTCACCAGTTGAACAACGTAGACCACATCATCAAGTTCATGGAGAAACATTATAACGTTAGTAGTTGTTGCTGGTTGTGTGTTGTTGTTGTTGTGCGAGGATGTTGTTGTTGGTTGTGTGCTGTTGGTTGTGTGTTGTTGGTTGTGTGTTGTTGTGTATTGCCGTTGGTTGTGTGTTATTGTGTGATGTTGTTGTTGGTTGTGTGTTGTTGCGTGGTGTTGTTTTTGTTGATGGTTGTGTGTTATTGTGTGATGTTGATATGAATAATGAAAAATTTTAAATTATGAAGATCAAGCTGGTTAATATAAGTAGTGACGATGTTGTTGATGGAAATCTCAAACTCATTCTTGGGCTAGTCTGGAACATTGTTCTACATTGGCAGGTCTGTCTGTCTCTTTGTCTAATCGTCTGTTTGTTTGTTGGTTTGTTTGTCTGTCTGCCTGTGTTTGTCTGTTGATCTGTCTGTCAGTTCATGGGCATATTTTTATTTATTTTTCAGTTAGTTTTTGGTTTATTTAAGTTGTCTTGAAGATTATTGAATGCTTATTTGTTGTTTGCCTTTTTTGGTTGGTTTTGTTGTATCTCTCTCTTGGTATCTCTCTTTGTAGCTCTCTTTGTATCTCTCTTTGTATTTCTCTTTGTATCTCTCTTTGTATTCTCCTTCTTGTTTCTTTTGTTTTCTTTATGTTTTTTGAACGTTTAACACTCCTTCATCAATGTCTCGTGTTTGTCGTTTTTTTCCGCCATTGTTCTAATTAACCCAAATGAACAATTCACACAGTTGAACTTCAACTCTGAGGTAATGTTTCATCGGCTCCGACACCCTTTCAATCAACCAATTAATTAATTAATTAACCAATCTATCAGCTAACAAACCAATCAGCTAATTAATTATGCCCATCCAATTTACCTCCCAACCGATCAATCAATCAACCAATTAATAACTTAATTGATTAATCTGTCAATAAAATTCCACTACTAACTTTCATCCAGCTAGCCTAGCAATCGTGCAATTCAGTTTTTCAACCGATTAATTAGCTAGCCCACTAGCTTACTTTTAATATGTTAACCACATAACTTACCTTTAATCTGTTTAACCAACCAATCAACCAATCAGTCAACCAACCAATCAGTCAACCAACCAATCAGTCAACCAACCAATCAGTCAACCAACCAATCAGTCGACCAACCAATCAACCAACCACGTCACATAATTTCTGTTTCAATCAATCAACCAATTATTCAACTCATTTCTCACTCACCCAATTCATCTTCCAATCACATCACACCAACCACCCGACCGACCGACCAATGGCGTTCCAAGGTAAAGGACGTTATGAAGGTACACGGGACAGATCGACCTCAGTCCAACCTAGAAAAGACACTTCTGGCATGGTGCAGAAAGTGTACTCACGGGTTATTATTATTATTGTTGTTGTTATTATTATTGTTATTATTTATATTATTGTTGCCAACGCCATGTACAGCTACCAGCGGGTTAACGTCACCAACTTCACGACCAGTTTCCGAGATGGACTGGCCTTCAACGCCATCTTCCATTATCACAAGTATCATAATCATCATCATTGACATCATCATCATCGTCATCGTCGTTATCGAAATCGTCATCAGCATCGCTTTATCATTGTCATCATTTTCACCATCGTCGTCGTCATCATTCCAATCTTCATCGTAATAATCACGATGATTATCATCTTCTTAATCATCATCTCAGTCATATATGATATATAATCTCAATTTTGGCCATCATAATCAGACCAGATGCCTTCAACTACATGCCACTACTCAGCCAAGACCACGTCTCCAACTTAAACCACGCCTTCAACTTTGCTGAACGGTATTTCGGTATAGAGGCCATACTAGACGCCGATGGTAATGTTTGTTTTTTTTGTATTTGTTTGTTTGATTGGTTTGTTGGCTGGCTGGTTTGTTTGTGTGTTGTTTGTTTGTTTGGTTGGTTGGCTGACTGGCTGGTTGGTTTGTTTGTGTGTATGTTTGTTTGTTTGTTAGTGTGTGTGTGTGTGTGTGTGTGTGTTTGTTTGTGTGTTTGTTTGTCACCATTATTTTTATTTTATTATCATCATAAAAGTGCCAAGATCAAAATTTACACGATTCCATCTTCATAACTCCCCGCGTTATCGTCATCATCATCGTTTTTACATCATTGCCATCATCTTATGATCACCACCACTATCAAAATAATAATAATAATAATAATGATAATGATACTACTAATAATAATAATGATAATAATCATCATCGCAACCGTCTATAGACATTAGCGTAGACCAGCCAGATAAGAAATCCATACTCATCTACGTCATGTGCTGTCATCAGCGTCTCACCAGAAAATCGCCACTCAGCCAGGCCAACAACAATAACAATAATAACAATGATATAATTAATAATAATAATAATAACAATAATAATAATAATGTTGACGACGTTGGCAGCGACAGACTACAACAATTACCGCATAATAACAATAATAATAATTATAGTAATAATAATGATGGTAATAATATTAGTAATAATAAAGTAGCCCGTCTGTCGCTGATGTCATCGTCTTCGTTGTCGTCATCGTCGTCGCCACAGTTCGTCGTCACGTCGCCCTCATCGCCACCGCCTTTCTATAAAACTCTGGAAGAAGTTTGTGATGGTGATGATGACGACGATGATGATGGCGGTAATGATGATAATGATGACGATGATGGCGGTGATGATGATGGTGGATGATGTTGGCGGTAATGATAATGATGATGATGGCGGTAACGATGATGATGACGATGATGGTGGCGGTAATGATGATGATGATGATGATGATGATGATGATGATGATGATGATGATGACAATGGTGACGACGACACAATTTCTTCCACATTTAGAAGTCAGTTTCGGAGGAGGGGTTGAGGAACTTGGAAGGATTCCAGCAGCATGTGGAGGACGTGCTGGCCTGGCTACTGCAAGCTCAAGCAAGCACGCAACAACGCGATGAAATATCAGATGATGTCGTCGTTGTTAAGAAGCAGTTCCAAGAGCACGAGGTTGTTGCTGTCTGTTCATTCAATCAATCTACCAATCGATCAACCAATCAATTGATCAATCGATCACTCAATCATTTGATTAATCAACCATTCATTTGATCAATCAATCAATCAATCAATCAATCAACCATTGCAACAGGAATTCATGGTGCAGCTGACGGAACATCAATCAGACGTCGGCGATCTTTTGCAGAAGGGCCGACAGCTGTTGGAAGAGCAACAGGGGGAGAGGCTTGCCGAAGAAGGGGTGCGGTCAATCTGGGAAGGGGTGGAGCTAAGTGAAGCTGACGAGAAAGTAGTCGCAGCGCAGATGAAGCTGCTGAATGAGCAGTGGGAGACATTGAGGATGCAGGCCATGAACAGACAGTCTTCGTTAGTAGTAGGATGATGATGACGATGATGGCGATGATGACGATCTTTTCAGTGTTGGCTTGATGATGACGATTGCCAACGATGTTGATTTGAAGGATATAACTATGAAGATACCATCATCATCATCGTCATCCTCTTCCTCCTCATCACGTAATTCTCATCACCTTCACATGACATAACCTCACAGTCACCACATCACCACCTAATCGCCAGCCTACAGCAGACTCTAACAAGACTGCAACAAAAACAGTTGGATTCCTTATCGAAATGGCTGGAAAAGATGGAGAGGATGATTCAGGCAAGTGATAGCACCATTAGGAAAGGTTCCTTAGAGGAGCGTTTGAAGGCCCACAAGGTACCAAAAGGGTCTATTTTGTTGTTTGTGTTGCTTTATGACGCTACCTACCTTCGTAGATTTTGTTGTTGATTTGTTGTCTGTCTGTAAGAATAAAAATATTTACTTTACTATACAAAAAAATGTTTCTCCTTTGTGTAATATGGAGCATTGATTGTTCGTGACATGCTACTGTTGATGTTGTTGATGTTTTTTGGCGTTAATGTTGGGAGTGTAGTTTGCCACTTTGTTCTGCTACTTACATTATTGATGGTTTGTTGATGTCATGCTGATTTTTTGGTTTCAATTTTGTTGCTGTTAATGTCGCAAACAACAACGATAACAACAACAACGACAACAACAACGACAACAACAACGACAACAACAACGACAACGACAACAACAACGACAACAACAACGACAACAACAACGACAACAACAACGACAACAACAACGACAACAACAACGACAACAACAACGACAACAACAACGACAACAACAACGAC